TCGTCTCCTATTATCCATTTCATTGATTGCCCTTATTCTGATCGGATATTTAGTTTCAATATTCTCCTGAAGATAGCAAAACACGTTACAAGGTGTTCAAAGAATCGCGTTGGTTAGTGGTAAAACATTGTAGTGTGAGTCTTAATTGTAATAATTGAGAACATGATTTCGTAAAATCGTTGTTCGCTGTATCTATAAGTTCTCGAATTATAGTGGTTTCAGTACATCTTCGTAAGTTGAATATATAATAAATCTTGTTTAGATACAATAAAGAAACATTCATGGAGAAAAAATAGCATAACTATATAAATGCACAAATATGACTATTATTTTCAGCAAATTAACATTTATCTGCTAAAAAATCGATTAATATCTGAAATCGCAGTATTCAGGTTTAGGACATAGGTACTTCATAAAAATAGAAATTAATTTGATCTAGAACCGTAAGAAGACATGGTGTTCCAATTGATATAATGAAGTTTTGGTATCTTCAATTTCGTCAAGATTTTTCGTCTATTATTGACGCAGAGTGTTCAATATCTCGAAGTGACTTTGTAGCAACGAATGGAACACATCTTGAACTACTCGTGTGGATCCATTATGTTTCAATGTGTAAATGGAAATCACAATGAAAATATCTATAGGCCTCAACAAAATCAGTTTGTCACGCTGAAAGTTGAATACCTTGGCAACCGTGGAGTCAAATAAAAAAAACAAAATACAGTTGTGTAGCAATTTTGATGGTGCATTCGAAAATGCAATTGAAAAAAGGGTAGGGTCTATTTCAAGAAATCTCATCATGAGCCGAAATCTTGAAATTCGAACGCCCTATAGATATGAAAATGATCTTAGGTGATAGTTCTCACGAAACCTTATGACAGTATTTGAATTATGGCTATATATCTGACGATTTGGCTAATATCGAAGGAGAACATACTATTGTCTCACCCTGTATAACAATACTTTCTGTGACTTATGGTATCTATATGAATCAGAATCTGAATTGACAAACATTAAATCATTCAGAGTGAAAGTGTTCAAAAAATTTGCTATAATTTTTAATCCAAAACAGCTAACAACAATTTTCGATAAACAAGTTCTTAAGCCCAATTAGGACTAACATGTAGTTGAATTTCGTGAAAAGAACACTTGTGCATGGATCACCCGGTATATTATCTTCATTCATATTTTATAATTAATAACCTGTCCTAGCCTATGGCTCAATAATGTATTCCTATTGTGACAAAAAAATGTGTCTTAATCGCTTGTTAGAAATAATCCGCTTACAAATATTACTTAAATTTTGTGTGAGTGGTTTCAAATTCTCATGAGTGAATTTAGAGTAAAGAGCAGCGATAATTCATTCTAATTCTGATAGGGGTTATCACAAAAGTAATCGTAACAATTTCAATTCGGATTTATTCAACAATAACAATGAGGACAGCAGGAAAAATACACCTAATATAAAATAAAAATATAGCACTCGAAGAAAAACTTTTTTCTGATATACTGATGCCAAGTCAGGTAGGTTGCGATTGCTCAAACTCCTACCACCTGAAAAATCTTGCTGTTAACCAAGAGATACAGCACAGCAACATGGATTTGAACACATCTTGTTTTCACATTTATTTTTACCGGCTCAGGAGAAGCGAGACCATGGTCAATAATTTTTTAAACAAAAAAAATAGTAGGATAAGACCCATTAGATTGGAATCGGCGGAAAATATAACAAAATGAGAGAAAAAATGATTCACGGGAGATATGAGGTCAGAAAGTGAAAGGGATGAGTTTTCAAGAATGGAAACGGTTCATTCCGATTTCCGACAAAACTACAAGTCCTATAGAGAAAAACCATCAAAATGTATGTGAAAAATTCAAATAAACAAGTTTCTGTTTTTCTTCATTTTGTATATATCATTCACATAATTATTTTGTTATGTGACGGAAAAAAGTTTCGAAATTCATCTCTGTTGACAGGTTATGAAATGTCACTTTTCATGAATTCCCTACGTTAAGAAGGTGAGCACTTTTTTCCCGGATATAGAAAATAAGCCAATAACATCGTCTACGAGGAAGAACTGCAAGTCCTGTTATTATATCCCATTCGACTCCACGGTCCCGTGAATAAGGTAGTGAACAACCACTAAATCAGCAATTTTTCAAAATCAAATCACAGAATCAGACTGACAGATATTTAATTACTTCAAAAGCATGATGAAGGTGCCTGTAGATAGATGCCTGTAACACAGGTGTGATTCTTTTCAAAAACTTCAAATTCATTGTCAATAATTTCCTTATTTCAACGAACAAAAAACCAACCGACTTTTTCGAAAGAACAAATATTCTGATGAGAGAATTTTTGATTGAATATCAGGGCGCCTTTTCGATATTATGAGTCAAAATAAGGTGGAAAAATAAATATTCTGAATAAGAAAAATCAAATGAAAAGGTGAGTTTTCACCAAATTCCGTCGAGATTTTTTTTGTAGAAGATGGAAATAAATAACTAAAAACTTTGTTATTTGATATTTCCACATAAACTTTGAGGATATGTGTGGGTACAAGAGTTATAGATCTCATTATTCAAACAATTCTGCCATCCAATTGTTCTCCATAGGACTTGTTGTTTTGTCGAAAATTGAAATAAACCCTTTCTCATCCTCACAAACTCCCCCCTCCCACTTGTCGACCTCAGATCTCTCGTAAATTATGTTTCCTTCCATTTTAGTTATATGTGGATTTTATCCTTTTATTATTTTCTCCTTTTCACCATTTTCAAAAGCTTTAGCCCTTGTCTGAATGTGGAATTTTCAGAATTGTACTGGAATTATTGAGGAAGCAGCAGAGATCTTTGTAACCATCTTGCCTCCATTCATAGCGACGTTGAAGTGGCTGGAGAGATGTGCTTCCTCAAATGAAACGGGGCACCAGCAAGACTGTCATCTCTCAAGCAGTCAGGCCGATGGCGTGTAAAAAGCCTGACATCAGCTTCCATCTATGCACCAACTGAAAGCGCATCAATAGCATGTCTAGCGCACCTACCATCAAGTTCAACGCAGTTACTTGGGAATAACCTGCCACCTCAAGATCGAGATTGGAAATATGTGGTAGACACACCCTGACGCTAATTACAACGAAGTACCACAATCACCACGTAATAGTTATTTCTTTCACTAGGCAGAAAAGTAGTAGATTGACTAACGCGGCTGACAGTTCATAACCGAACGAAGCGAGGGTAAGAATTTAGCCATGGCAGTCAATCAACATTTACTGCCGAGCGTAGCAAGGATAGGAATCTATCTAAGGCAGTCAATCAACATTTGCTGCGGTGTGAAATTTTTCTCCAAATGATATAGAACCAATTAAGTGTGATTTTTTTTATTGAAAACTCCATCATTTTGTATTCACCCAATGTCAGTGTGTCAATTTTGATTACTTACTTCATTAGAATTTCTTGGAACGTTGCATGGCAATAGACTCTTTCTGCCTAGGCAGTAAAAGTACACGTATTCTGCCTGTTGCAGAGAAAAACGATATTTTGCCACTGCACCGAGGATTGTGGTGGTGACAAATGTGTATGCCAGAAAGCAATGCTAAACTGTTATGCGGCGTGCCTCCACTGCCAAGGGAAATGTCTCAACGGCCTGTTGATGAGGACGAGATGGCAACGAAGATGAAGATGACTAAGACTTCCTTCAACAAGAGCAATCCAAACCGAGGATGAGGATGCCATGAACGGAGAACCTTTGCCAGAACCCTCACGGCCAAAGAGCATGGAGACGTGAATCAAGAGAAAGTGGAATGTTTAAAACTCGGTTTGGAATTATCAGGTTATTAAGATCGAGAATAATAATATCATGTGACTTCCGTCATTATCTTCACAACACAATTTCTCATTTTTCGAGTAAAAATATGTTTCGTCGACCTCTACAAAAAATCTATTTCAAGTTCTAATTTCCGAACGAAAAACTGTTTATTGTCTCGCCTTATTGGTAGCCTCCGCTAAGGCCTCAGCTATCAATTTGCAGATCCGACTATAATAGACAGTGTTTCGTCTTTGGTACATAAATAACTATTTTGTCTACGACATAAAATAACCTGTTTTCAAGTGTGGTAATACATTAGTATATACAAAGCTGTAACAAACAATATTTGTGATTCAGGAATGTCAAAAAACAAGTTTTTCTAAAAATGACGAAACTTACGGAAATCCTTAAAATGTGTGTGGCTGTTGACCAGTTGAAGACAAATTTGCATATGTACACAAATTCTTGAAGGAAATTGAATCCTCTATAACATTTTCTGAACAAAACGAATAGTTCAGACGATATATAATTGTCTTTATTGTTAAATGGGAGATAATATATACGATTATTCGAAAGTTTCCACTCTCCGGAGCGCGTAGCTCGAAAACGGATGGAGATCCGAAGAAAGAAAGAGAATTTCATCAGCTCTCATTTGGCATCAGAAAATGTCTTGCTACAACGAACTGTTTCCGACATAGATATAAGTGATATACTGCTCTTTCTCCTGCGAGTCACCTCCTAGATGTCAGGACTTTAACTCCCTAAACTCCTCGAATAAGTGTCTGAATGAATCGCTTAGGTCCCTGCTCACACACTCTACAATCCCTTTATTGAATTGAAAAATAGTTGATTACCATTTTTCCAGTTGATTATTATGGAGTTAAGTGATCCTGGAATTCACAGTTGGTGTTCTAATGAAAAGTAAATAAGGGATAATTGAATTTCTCAAAACTAAACATTGGGACAAATAGCCTAGAGATGAACTGAAAACTGTGAGATTGAAACATATTTCCCTGGTGATTCCTCCTCTCGATAAAAATTTGTAGATATTAGATCTCAAGGTTTCTTCATTTATACTATACATACAAAAACTTATTACCCATTCGAGTCTGCCTATCATGGAAAAAGCTATCGATTATTTAAAATTATCAACGGATTGTTCATAATGACAACATAAATTCCAACAGAAACTCACCCCTCCTCCTCCTAATGTTAACTCATGTTGCCATTTAGTTAAATCAAGCTTCTTGAAATTGTCCTCAAAAATCAATTCTCCTGAACAAATTCTTGCTGGGGCATGAGTTCCACTAACTGTAGTTGCACTTTTTTCACAATCATTTCTACTCGAATGTTTGGATTGACATTTCCCGATGATGAAGAGGGATATCAAAATAAACGACCGCATCTTATTCTTCTCGATCTACGTTCTATGATAGTAAACAATTATTCAATCGGAATATCACTCTGTATCTTGAATGTTGTTAACTGGATGATAAAAACAGAATGCGATGTCACTTATAGAACCTACGTATCATCGAAGATCTGCTTGATAAGTCCGCGTATCAACCTCACATATGGCTGAAATGATTCAATATAAACGATGATGATTAATAAGTGTACCTTCCTTATAACATTTTGGTAGAGATATAGTTGCCATTATCATGATGGGAGGGGAAAGCATTATATTATAATTCTCATCAGTTCACAACACGATTAGGGGAATTATCTAGACAGCTATATAGCCATGAATTCAAATAACAATAATTATACATGATGAAATGGGTTTTAAGTGACAGCACGGTATTTCCCGATAAAAAAAACAGGTAGCTCCACTATGTTGATCATTATCCGTTATATGAATACAATGTGCAGAGTAACGGAACACTATGGGTAGGTATATTAGTTTACAGATAAAAAATAATAATTTATGTATCGGTTGACTACACAATTGTGTTTCGTAGAATAAAAAAAATATACTGGAGGTGACGTGCAGTACCTACTTATCTTTGCATGTTTATCAGTGGTAAACAGTTGTAACTGAATGCCGGCAGAGGAATTCACCACAATTTCGCAGTTAGACAGTCGTGGTACTTTTGAATGCGATCGAAGTACAATAATGCACCTCGACAATAAGTTAACTTTACCTATCTCCAATAGTAAACGTGAACTTTAAAATGTGGTTGACAATTTAAGACATTGAATAATGAAAATAACCAAAATATACGTTATATTTAACTCAACCGATGAGTTAAATCTGACAGTTTGGAGTTCCCTATAATATGTTGATGATTTTGAATAGCTATTCCGTTAAATATCACCGCCAATTTTTCTTCAATTTACCATCTTCTTCAAGTGAAATGATTGTTGAGTTAATTACTGCATCCCTTAGTACTATCAACTGACATATATATGGTGTAATGTACTGCATTTAAAAGTATTGAATCACTAGCGAATCAGCATTTATAAATTGGTGTGATCAAAATACTACACACTAAACTATAAAAGTAGGTGAACAACTAATGGAAATCATTCTATTTTATTTATTGTTGATCGAACGATCCTCTTTATGAATTAGTAAAATGTATACCTAACCTACAATGACTGCCCCACTGAGCAAAGTAATATCTCAACAATACTGCAGCAGTATTTCAATGATATGTGTAATGTAACATCATATATTGTCGCTATCTTACTGCAAGGTAGCAGCAACTACTGAAAAGGACGTTCATCAATATTATAAATGTGATGTTCGCGAATGAATCATTCCACCAAAGTTATTGTAACATTTTGTATGAAGTACAGTATTCACATTTGATGAACAAATGTAATCTTATGGTGATATTTCATTGAGGTTACTGGCAACATGAAATCAAAAGTATAGGTAAATAAGATATTTCATGTTATGAATTATGCATAGCAGCAACTTTCTGCTAATCGAATAATCGTGTCGACTATTCCATAATTTAGAAATCAATTTCAAAATGTTCTCGATATAACGGTTTTATGGTTCAGGCACTGCACTGCATAATAACCTGGAACAAGAGGAAACGATAATAAAATGAAATAATCAGGAATCTACCGATTATTTCTTCTATCGGTTGAGCTTGAGAGTTGATGATTGTATACTTGATTCTGGAAATATTCATTTTTGAATGTTTGAACATTCTCTAGACCCAGCAATTGGATATCTATGTTTTTCTGAATATTCTGGTGGTGACCAAAAGCATAATCATTTTTACAATAAATCATTCATACCTCGCATACTTGTCAAAGGTATGCTGAGAGTATTTTATTATATACATTGAAGAGATGTTTATAGAATAACCACAAGATAATATAAATATTTTATGAGATCCACAGAATATTCTTAAGAAATATGTTTGAGTTTTGTTTCATGATTCGAGATATGAATAAATTAGTGGACTGTATGGTTTAAAAATTCATCGAAATCACAGAGCGGTCTATAAAGGCCACTTACCCATGATGTCTTCTTGCCACGCCAAATTTGTATAATCTGCAGTCTTGGAGATGGTACCATCGACGACCCACATCTGATATCCAGAACAGGACACTATGGTTGCACTATATTGTTTTTCGTGTAATTGTTCATTATGGGAAGGAATTTAACCTTTGTTGGAGATTCACCGGTGTAATTAAAAACACGTGTATAGCTCTCAGAGAGTCATTAGAGAGAGAGAGAGTCATGGTTTTCGTGGTACTACGTCCTCGTGATTCTCTCCTTTGGGGAGGGGAAAGGATCCATGTGCCCCTAAGTATAGTGGCCAATAGATACTCTGTGATTGAATACGCGCGAAAAATTAGGATAAATATATGAGACTACCAACTAAGTCTTTTGGCAATTGTATAAACTTACATATCTATGCATCAAATACTGGCTTGATGAAACATACCGCCCATCAAAAATTGTGAAAATTTTTTAAAAAAATAAACTTGAGAAATAAAAAAATCAAAAAATAAATCAATTTCTTTGCCTTGAGCAAAACATTACGACATAAACATTAATGATTAATCGGTAAGTGGGAGCGGACATACTTTATGTACCGGACGTTTGAAGGTACCCTTTGTGGTTTTTACTGAAACAACTCTAGTGATACTATCAGCTCCAGTATGTAACTCTGTTACTCGTCCCATATTCCACTTTAAAGGCGGTGATAAATCGTCCTTCAAGAGAACCAATGTACCTAATTCGATGGGGACTGCGGAATCTGTCCATTTTGAACGCTGCAAGAGCGTATGGAGGTATTCGCGATGCCATCTTGCCCAAAAATCCTGTTGGATTCGCTGGACAAGCTGCCATCTCGAGAGCCTACCAATGTTCAATTCTGTCAGATTATGCTCGGGTAAGGAGTTGAGAGGTGCCAATGTTAGGAAGTGGCCAGGTGTGAGCACATTAAGATCATTAAGATCAGAGCTCATAGGGCTTAAGGGACGAGAATTAAGAATAGATTCAATCTGGATCATCACAGTGTTGAGTTCCTCATAGGAAAGGATCTGATCCCCAACAACACGAATCAAATGTTTCTTAACCGCCTTTATACCAGCTTCCCAGAGTCCTCCAAAGTTTGGGGAAATGGGAGGGATAGTGTGAAACTCAATATACTCAGTTTCAGCAGCTACGCGCATGAGGTCAGACAGTTTATTAGCAGCTCCAACAAACACGGTCCCTTGGTCACTATAAATATGATTACATTGGCCCCGTCGTGCGATGAAACGTCGGAGAGCGGCAAGAAAAGTATCGGACGTCATGTCGGTAGTGAGTTCCAAATGAATGGCCTTAGTCACCAGACAGATAAAGAGACATAGGTATGACTTTAAAACCTTAGCACCCCTAATACGACCCATTGTTACAGGAAAGGGGCCCCCATAATCGATTCCAACTCTGGAAAAGGGTTTTACCTGAGATAATCGGACAGATGGGAGGTTTCCCATTAAGGGTTGACGAGAAATGGGATTGACACGAAAACATCGTATGCATTGAGAAAGAATTTTACGAATCGTTCGTTTTGGGGATAAAATCCAGTATCTTTGGACTAACAGGTTTTGAAGGGTTTGCAAACCTGGGTGCAGATATTTATTATGGGTATAGTCTATGACCAGATGAGTGAATCTATGATTGCTTGGCAGGAGAACAGGATGTTTATGTTGAAAAGTCATATGAGGAGCGTGGACTAAACGACCGCCCACCCTTAGGACACCCTGGTCATCAAGGAAGGGGTTTAATTTACGCAAATATTTAGGTAGAGGTCGTTTTCGATTCAATAAATCGATTTCCTTAGAAAAGGCAATATTTTGGGTATATTGAATGAGAATAAGACAAGCCCGTTCTAATTCTACTGAAGAGATAGGTCCATATGTCCGAGCCACTTGGTTGAGACAATTATGTGAGAAGCGAAGAAGGTAGACAATAATTCTTTGGATTTTTCTAAACGATGAATGATTGTCCAAGAGATTTTGAAGTGGGTGACTTTCTATAGAAACATTCAGTACTACTTTACGTTGTTCTTCATCAGTGGTGAAAGAATAATAATAAGACTCATCAAAAATATGGGGTGGCCAATAGGATGTGGGGAGTTTCAACCAGGAAGGCCCCGCCCACCATATGGTTTTTGAGAGAAGTGCCGAAGGAGTTAAACCTCTGGATGCGGGATCGGCGGGGTTATCTCCTGTAGAAACATGATGCCATAACGAAGGAGGAACCTTTTCTTGAATATCAGTGACCCGGTTGGCGACAAAACAAGTTCTATTATGAGGACTACTTCTGAGCCATGCGAGTACTGTTGTGGAGTCTGAGTAGGCGAAGATTTTTTCCAGTTGGAATTTTCCGGCATACGTGGACTGAACGAAAGTGAGTAAATCAGCGAGAAGCTGAGCGGCACATAGCTCTAAACGTGGAATAGATATTCTTTTTAACGGAGATACTCTGGACTTGGCACAAAGAAAGTGAGTAGAAATAACTTCATTTTCAGATATAACTCTGAGATATGAGACAGCAGCATAGCCCACCTCACTGGCGTCGCAAAATCCATGGAGTTGAATAGACAATACTGGCTGCGAAAATAAAGGTCGGGGAACATGAACTGAAGATAAAGTAATCATGTCCGATTTCAGTTCAGACCATAGTTGAGCAATATATGGTGGTGGAGAGGAATCCCAGTCAAGACCGAGAGTCCATAAAGATTGGAGGAGATGTTTTATAAGCAGAACCACCGGAGTGAGAAACCCCAAAGGGTCAAATATGCGAGCCAACTCAGACAAAATATTACGTTTTGTACACAATTCATGTAAAGGAGTAACTTGATAAGAGAATGAGTCAGTGGAAGGGTTCCACTGGAGACCTAAAATTTTAATCACTTGATTGGGTTCAAGGTCAAGTTTTAAAGGATCGATTTGGAGTGAAGATTCAGGCAAATGAGAGAGAAATATGGAATTGTTGCTAGCCCACTTGTGCAATTCAAAACCTGCTCGACTCATAACTTCGAGTAAATCAGCTTGCAATTGAAGTGCCTCTGACAATGAGTTACTACCAGTCACTATATCATCAACAAATGTATCATTTGAAACAACCTCACAAGCGATAGGAAATT